ATACAGGGACAATTGAATAAAGGGATGTGGTAGTGAGAAGTCCAGAAGTCATTGGTATGGAGAAGGAAGACTGCCCCACCCCTGAGAGAAACATGTTAGCTTTGACTTCTCAGTGTCTGCTTAGTTCAACGTGATCTCAGACCCGGGCAATTGCTGTGTTTCTTAGAAAAAGCTTTTACTTGGCTTCTGTTTCCTAACGGGCTGAACATGTGCCAACTCTCCAAAGCCCATCAAAGATATCCTAGATCTTTCTGATTGGTAGACCCCATTCCTTTTCCAGCAAATTCCAACAAGGACCTGAAAACGGAGGCCTGAGAAGGATGGTGCTCTGTGGAGTGGGTTTTCTTTCTATCATGCAGCTCTGGGGAGCAGCCTCATTGCAGGCTGGCTTCCTGGGAAGCATAGTGGAGACTGCGAGGAGAGCCAAGAATGTATTTTGCAAGGAACACTGGTGAAAGGAGGAAGCATGTATTTTGGGGGGAAGCTGTCAGGTTGTGATGCAGACCTGGCTGCAGCTCTGCCACCCCATGGAGAGCTCAGGACAAAGACTGCCTGTCAGAGGAACAGAAGGCAACGGCCTCGCCCTGTGCCACCGCCTTGCTCAGTCACTGGCCGGGACCACTCCTGGAGGAGGGCAAGCTATAGTGGCCAAAGGCTGACGGGGGGGGGGGGGGGGGGGGAGGGCTGTCCATTTACTTCTCCACTCTTCAGAAGGAAAAACACCCTTGGAACTGGTGGAACATTTAGAACTTCATCAGAAATACTCACTGGGAGCCAGTGTAGCCTAATCCAGAGCCCTACGCCAAGGACAGGTCTCCAAACTGCAGGCTCTGGGTGAGCTGACAATAAAGGCCCATCATAAATCAATGAGGGGGAGATAGTCGATTCTGGTGGTGGCACAGTCACAAAAAAACCTGCAGATGTGGGGAGTTTGTGAACCTTAGACATTTTGATTTTTTTTTTTTTTTTGGCATTTCGATTTTCATGACAATTTTCCTTTATGCCAGGTTTTCATTCTTTGTGCCTTAAAACCTTGATTAGGAAAGAAACCCTCCTTTAAAAGGGGAAAACCCAAAGGGATTACAAGTAGAAATGACTGCTACTTCTTCCCTTTCTGCTCCTCCTGCTTTTAAAACTTGTGTGACCTATTAGGCTTTAGTTTTGCTTAAAGAGGTAGTTCAGTTGACACTGGGGAAATTTATTTGGCTGACTAGACAGGGCTTGAATTTTTTTTTTTTTTTAAGATTTGTGCTTGAATTATCCTGAGATCAAGGGTTGCATGCTTTACCGACTGAGCCAGCCAGGCATACCCATGGGCTTGAATATCTTTCAATGGTTTAATTAGGTTCCCACGTTTGTTCATGACCAGAGGAGATGGGGGCAGCATGGATGTCCTTTACATTGGAGAAATAGAGTTCCAGAAGCCGAAAGTTTTATGTCTTTTGGGGTATCAGCTGTGGGTCCAGCTAGCAAGAGACAAAGCGTCCTGTCTAGCGAGTCTCTACGTGACAATTACATGTGACTTTCTCAGTTTGTCTTTGGCCCATGTGACAATGTTGGCTGAACTGGAGATTTTTTTCAGCCTAGTTTTACTTAACCCAAAGGCCATACTTATTAATGCTCACCAAATGCACCTGATGGCAAAGTGGCTTAGGAGCAGGGGCTATATGTGATGTAGAAAAATACTGCGGTTTGCAGCGAATGGCTGTTGTGCCCAAGATTGCAAATCCGAGAAACCACCAAGGAGCAGACACCGATGCAAACACGCGAGGGTTTATTTACAAGCTCAAGCTTGGGTCCAAGTGTACCCGACACAGCAGAGCAGAGACTTGGACCCCGAGACTAAGAGGGGTAGCAGCTTTATAGGGGCCAGTGGCCAATGGGATACACAGAAAGTTGCACAGTCATGTCGGTCCACAAGCAGATGGCCAACTGAATTACACCTTACCCTAAAGTATCCTTTTGAACTGGCCTATTACTTTGGTCAGAATTGGCACGCAGTTTTGGCGGGCACAAAGCAGGGTTACATTGTTATGAGCTGATTTCCAATTAGGGTGTGCCCAGCGGCTTGACTAGGGTGGGGAGCACCTTAAGCAATAAGCAGGTTATGTGGGGTCATACAGGAGGTGGCAGGTGTAGCACAAAATGGAGTTAGTCCTGCTCTGCTTGTCCAGGGGTAGGGGATTTTTGTTAAATTTCCTGGGTCCCACAATGGCCATAAAGAATCCTTGAGATGTCTTTGGTTCAAAAGAGTGGTTTTGTTCAAGCACAGGGACAGGACCCACCGGCAGAAAGAGCTGCACTGGGGTCCTGAGGGGTGGCTCATTATACACTTTCCAGTTTGGGCGGGGTTAGAGATAGTGTAAGTCTCTAAGGAATTTTGGAAGCAAGGCTTCCAGGACTTTGAGGGGGCTAGCTGCTGTTATGAAAAAAGGTTATTTATTACTGTTTAGTAAATCCTGTCATGAGACCCTTCAGATGTATATCAGTGGGTCATATGCTTGGGGGATGATTGGCAGAGGGGGGTAAGAGATAAAGCAAGTTTTCAAAGGAATTTCTGTATGCTAAAAAAGATTCACAAGATCCTGGGGGTTCGGACTAAGATAGCCCTTGCCCGTAGCAAAGTGTCAACATCGAGGCAGATGAACTCCCAGAGGAATGTCACTCTGCCTGTTTCAAGGACTTGTCGATGGGCTATTAAGTAGTAAGGAAATTTAATTTTTTTTTCTCCTGCCTTTGTTTCCTACATCACATGCAGAGATTGGCCTCGATGACAGACAAGGCCCTGGAATTCCAGCAATGGCATGAAGATGATCTTGTCTTTTTTTGGATTAAAACAGCTGTCTTCCAATATGGTGTATAGTTTCTGACTAAAAAGGGGAAAGACTTGTCCCTGTTATCAGAATTTAATAATGTGATTTAAAGTGTCTTCAGCAATATAGACATTGACAAGGGTTACCGTGAGAAGATCCAGTCTGCCAAGGAGGAGGCAGCAAGTATACCAGTGGAGTTGGGTGTCAGGACAGAGGTTGCAGTCCTTGTCTGCTCCACCTACTAGCTGTATGACATTGTACAGCTCACCCAACATTTCCCTTCCATAGATCCCTCAATTCTAAACCGAGTGCAATATAACTTCTCTCAGAGGGTTGTTGTAAGGAGTAAGCAAAGTAATGATCTAAAAATGGATTCCAGAGAGAAGAGCCTCGTTTCCTAGTATTGTGTGTGACTACTAGGCTTCCATGGCCATGTCAGAATTGAGAGCCTGGGTGGGTACAGAGCTGACCACGGCTGCAGGTGTAATTGAACCTAATTCATGCGTTCTCTGTAAACATGAGTAGTAACTGAGTTTGCTGTTAATGCAGTGGAGTCCTATAAACCAGAAGGTAGCTATGGTGCTGGCTGGCTCCTTTCCCACTTGACATTCTCAGATTGTTTTTCTCTACCACTGATTGTGGTAGATTAGGCTATAATGGACACTAACCGAATCACTTCAATTGCAAGTCCGGAACATCCAGAGTGTTAACTTCCTGTGTTACTGGATGAATATGTAAGTTGAGGAATCATCACAATATGTTTCATAAACCTACTCTGAGTGGTCTAGAAACTCCCATCTTTGTCATGTTACCAATTACTTTTTCTGAAGACCTATGTCCCTGGTGCCATAGTAGGTATTTGGTATTTTCATTTAATCTTCAAAACCAATCTGCTCTTGAATTCTTCCATTATACAACTTTACCTTCTTTGCTGGTTGTTTTTTCCTGTTCTTTCATATATGCAATAACTTCCTTCAAAGAGCCATTCACTGGTTTCCCCACAACCCTAAGAGATTCTCTGCTTTGGGCTTCCATTCATATTTTGACGGTATTATAAAGCCTCTTGAATTTTTATGGAGATGTTTTTGAATATTTAATCCGTGGTTCGGTCAATTGATATCTTCTCTCACTGAAGGGAAATGCTCCTAAGGAAAAAATAGTAATAATTAGAGGCTCCCAAAACATTCCAAGAAATTCTGGTCCAGGGCTTAGGTCCCCCGTCTCCCTCAAGATAACCATCAGCCAACCAATCTGGGGGTTCCTTAAAAGAACTGTACTGTCTACGTCTCTCCATCTCTGGAATGGGGTGGGATTCTTTTAAGCCCTGTTTTGAGATTCCGATGTTTCTTAGCCAGTATGAGGTTAAACAAAACAAAACAAAACAAAAACAGCCTGTCTGCATCTGTCGAAACTTCTAGACACTCTTAAGACCTAGTTCCTCATTCCCTCTTTTGATTTTCCTCTACAGGGCGTGATCTTTATTTTAGTTCCTATACTGTCAACTCAAGTTTGTTTGGAAACAAAGGTTAGGTGGGTTTCAGACTTAATTTGTTCTAGAGGCTCTAGAGTTGTCCGGCTGGCCAATGGCCCCCACTGCCCCACAGCATCCATCCTTCCCCTGGCAGTTCTGCTCCCCGAGGCCATGCTCCCTGGCCACGAGCGAGGGGAACAGCAGGTGCACCAGCGAGGTGCTTGGCGTTGAGGCAGTGGTGGGCCTGGGACATGGGAGCGCAGGACGCAGCAGCGCCAGCTCCTGGGTCCGGATGGGCGACGGCCCAGGCCAGGGCGGGAAACTCGAGGACGGAGGTCAAGACAGACGAGCGCAGCCTGCTCAGAGGGCCTCGGCGGAAGCGCCCGGCGGGAGCGGCTGAGAGCGGAGACCCCTAGCGGCACCGACGCTGGGGCCCTATCGGCGGACACCTGGGCTTCTATACCGCCGCCAGCCAATCGCGGCTGAGGTTGGGCGGACGTCACAGTGGGCGTGTGTGACGTCAGCCCTCGTGACTCTATCCCCGGAAGTCGCTCGCGAAATCCCTCCCCCTCCTTCCACGTCTCAGAGCGACACATCCTCCCAGTGTTTCCCCTTCCAGCTGTCGCCCCCCCCGCTCACCCTCTCCCACCCGCCCTTCATCCGTTCAGAATCCGATGTCAGTCACCGGCTGTTCGTCGCGCCACCGCGGGGAGAGGAAAGCCCTCGACCCCGGCTTACCGGCGCTTCCACGAGCGAGGCCCAGGGCGCAGGCTGAACCGGAACCCGGGTTCCGACCTGAATCCGCTAATCCCGGGGCCGAGTGGGGGACTCCGAGACAGCCTCCCGGGGCCCTGACCACGCCCCTCCCCAGGCCCCGCCCAGCGCTTGCGGGAGGTTTCCATGGTGACAGAACACTAGCCGCGGCGCCGGCGCCCTGGTGGCGTCCACAGGCCTGCTCCCCGGCCCTCGCTTCTGCAAATAAGGGGATGGAGAGTGACAGCGCAGATGTAGTGAAGTGAAACACGGAGACACGGGGCCACCGTGGGGCCACCTGGGAGGGCAGCCTGGGGGCCGGGACACGAGGACTGTGGTGCGAGGGCCTGCAGCCCTCAGAAGATTGAGGCCAACGGACGAGCAGATGGAGGAGGATGTGAGCCGGTGCAGGCGGTGTGACCTTGGCCTGGGCAGCAGAGCTGGGAGAAGACACCAGGAGCAAGGGGAGCTCCTTCTAGCAAGACCTTGCAGTGTTGTGTTTTCCTAGAAAGGACTGGGCAGCCTGCATAGGAGGGGTTCTCCCAAGTAGGAGTATGAGCAGTGCGGACACGTAAGCATTGCGTGCTGGAGGCCACGGGCAGGGGGGACACTGGCAGGGAGGACACGGACAGACTCTTGTGTTCTGCATCCACATAGTGTGTTTATTCATGAGAGACACAGGCAGAGGGAGAAGCAGGCTCCCCGGGGGGAGCCCGATAGGGGACTCGATTCCAGGACCCCGGATCATGCCCTGAGCCAAAGGCAGACGCTCAATCACTGAACCACCCAGGCGTCCCTGTCTTTCTTAAAAAAAAAAAAAAAAAAAAAAAAAAAAAAAGGTACTTATTTATTTGGGGAGGGGCAGAAGGGAGAACAGGAACAGGCCGACTCCTCCTCAGTGGAGCCTGACCTGGGACTGGATTTCAGCACTCTGAGTTCATGACCTGAGCTGAAACCGAGTCAGACACTTCACGGACTGAGCCACTCAGGCACCCATTCTGTGTCTTCTTTCATTTCTTTCAACAATGTTTTATAATTTTTAGCGTACAAATCTTTTGCCTCCTTGGTTAATTTTATACATTTTGCTGCTTGCTTGCTTATTTATTCATTTATTCATTCATTCATTCACTCATTCATTTATTTATGACAAAGAAAGAGAGAGAGGCAGAGACCCAGGCAGATGGAGAAGCAGGCTCCATGCAGGGAGCCCGTTGTGGGACTCGATGGTAGGACCCCAGGATCAAACCCTGAGCCAAAGGCAGACGCTCAACTGCTGAGCCACCCAGGTGTCCCTTTTGCTGCTATTGTAAAATGGAACTGTTTTCTTAATTTCCTTTTGGGATTGTTCATTTTAAGTGTATAGAAATGCAATTGATTTTTGTGTGTTGGTTTTATATCCTGTTTGCTAAATTCATTTATTCTAAGTGTGTGTGTATGTGTGGATTCTTTTGGATTTTCAACATATAAAATCGTTATCTATAAACAGATAGTTTTACTTCTTCTTTTCCAATCTGAATGCCCTTATTTCTTTTTCTTGCCCAACTGCATTGGCTAGTATTATGTTGAATAGAAGTAGAGACAGTGGGCATCCTTGCCTTGTTCCTGACTTTAGAGGAAAAGCTTTAATTCTTTCATCATTGAGTATGTTCACTGTGGGTTTTATATATGGCTTTCATATTTTTTAAAGATTTTATTTATTTGACAGAGAGAGAGACCAGAAGCAGGGGGAGCAGTTGAGGGAGAGGAGAAGCAGGCTCTCTGACATAGGGGCTCAATCCCAGGACCCTGGGATCATGACCTGAGTTGAGGGCAGATGCTTAACCAATTGAGCCACCCAGGCACCCATGGCTTTTATTAAGTTGAAACAGTATTCAATTCATCAGATGCTTACTCTGCATCAATTGAGATGACAGTGTGTTTTTACTCCCTTATCCTGTTAATGTGGCATATTATATTGAATGATTTTTTGGATGTTGAATCACCCCTGCATTCCAGAAATAAGCTCCATTTGAGCATGTTGTATAATACCTTATACATACTGTAAATTCAGTTTGCTAGTACTTTATTGAAGATTTTTACATCAATTTCATAAGAGATATTGGTCTGTCGTTTTCTTATAGTATCATTGTCTGGCTTTGGTATCAGGACAATATTGGCCTCATAGAATGAATTAGCATATGTTCCCTCCTCTTCAATTTTTTAAGAGTTGAGAAGGATTGGTGTAAGTACTTTAAATGTTTGGTAGAATTCACCCATGAGGCCATCAGGTCCTGGGCTTCTCTTTGTGGTGAGATTTTTAAATTTGATTTAATATCCTTACTATTTATACCTTATTCATATTTTCTATTTTTTCCTGATTCAATGTTAGTAGATTTTATCAACTAGCGATTTGTCCATTTCTTTTAGGTTATCCAATTTGTTGGTACATAGTTGTTCATAAAACTCTTATTATTTGTTTTATTTCTCTTAGAATTGGCAGTCAATGCCCCAAATTCATTTCTGAATTTTGTTCTTTAAGCAAATCTAATAGTTTGTCAATGTTGTTAATCTTTACAAAAGATCTTTCTTTTCAAAAAAACAACTTTTGATTTCATTGCTTTCTGCGTTTTCTGTTCTCTCTGTTCAAATCTTCATTATTTCCTTCCATCTGACAGGTTTATGTTTAGTTTTTTTCTTTTTCTAAAAGTTTCTTAATATTTTTCAAGATTTTATTTATTTATTCATGAGAGACACACAGATAGAGGCAGAGACAGAGGCAGAGGGAGAAGCAGGCTCCATGCAAGGAGCCCGAGGTGGGACTCGATCCCCAGACTCCAGGATTACACCCTGAGCCGAATCTCAACTACTGAGCCACTCAGGCATCCCTAGTTTCTTAAATTATAAAGTTTGTAAATTTCAGATTTTTCTTCTTTTTTGAGGTAAGCATTCATAGCTCTAAGTTTACCCTTTAGCACTGTTTTCACTGCATCCTAATACATTTCATAGTCTGTGTTTTCCTTTCATCTAAGTATTTTCTAATTTCTCTTATGATTTCTTGTTTGATCCATTGGTTGTTTAAGAGCATGTTGTTTAATTTCAACAAATTTGTGAATTGTGATTCACAAAATTGTAAATCTCCCAATTTTCCTTACATTTGATTCTTAACTTCATCCTATTGTACTCAGAGAAGACACTTTGTATGATATATATTTTAAGGAATTTATTCATGAGAGACACAGAGAAAGAAAGAGGCAGAGACACAGGCAGAGGGAGAAGCAGGCTCCCTGCAGAGAGCCTGATGCGGGACTCAATCCCAGATCCCAGGATCACACCCTGGGCCAGAGGCAGATGCTCAAACCGCTGAGCCACCCAGGCGTCCCTGTATGATATATTTTAAAACCTACTGGAACTTAGTCTGTGGCTTAACATATGGTCTATCCTGGAGAGCATCACGTGAGCACCTGAGAGGACTGTATGCCGCTATTGTTGGCAGTAGTGTCCTGTATATGTCTGAGATCTGCTAGGTTTATTGTGTTAAGTTCTCTGTTTCCTTACTTCGCTTCTGTCCAGTTGTTCCCTCTCTTTTGATAGAACTGTGTAGTTCTATTCTGTCATTTCATATATTATGATGGTCTGTTATTAGAATTAATGAATTTAAAGTTGCAGTAGCCACCTTTCACATAAAACAGATACAAGATCTAAGGTATTTGGAGAAATAATAAAACAAAGACCAGTTCCTCCACCACTTATCTTAAGACATGGAGCAGTATCAGTATCTTTTTTTTTAATTTTTATTTATTTATGATAGTCACACACAGAGAGAGAAAGAAAGAAAGAGGCAGAGACATAGGCAGAGGGAGAAGCAGGCTCCATGCACCGGGAGCCCGACGTGGGATCCGATCCCGGGTCTCCAGTATCGCGCCCTGGGCCAAAGGCAGGCGCCAAACCGCTGCGCCACCCAGGGATCTGTTGCCATTCTTTTAAGTGAGGAGTTTGGGTTGTGCCTTCAAGACTCTACCCTCCTCTTGGAAAAATGTACTCGGAGGTTGGCCTGAGATGTCTCCCTCTGCATCTTCTCTCCCACTTTGCCCACATATATGTTCAGTCTTTACTGTTTATTTTGTAGATCCGAATTTGTATCTGTTTTCCTTGCTGTTTTCCATGGATTTTGGGAAAAAGTGGGAAATGACCATCTTAAGTCAAAAATACCCTAGGAAGCGTTTAAAATAAGAAAAAAAAGATCCCTCAGTCCAATCCCAGGCCTACCAAGGCAGCATTTCCAAATGGAGCCCCCAAAGCATCTGTATTTTTAGACAAGTATAAAGCCACACTTAACAGCCATTCAGCTACACTGCCTGTATCCTATTAAGTCATTTTCTCTTTATTTTTAAAAAATATTTTATTTATTTATTCATGAGAGACAGAGAAGCAGAGACATAAGCAGAGGGAGAAGCAGGCTCCCTGGAGCCTGATACAGGACTTGATCCCAGGACCTAGGCCAAAGGCACCCTCAACCACTGAGCCACCCAGGTGCCCCTCTTTTATTTTTTAATTGGGAAACATTCCTTTAATCCTTAAAGAGCAGACTGCTGTCCTTAAGTATTTAATGTGCATATTAGCTTTCTTGTTGCTATTGTAACAAATTAACATGAATTTATTATCATACTTCCCTGGAGGTCTAAAGTCAAAATCAAAGGGTTGTCGGGGCTACATTCCTTTTGGAGCTTCCAGGGGAGAATCAGTGTCCTGGTCTTTTCCAGATTCTAGAGGTCTCTGCATTCCTTGGTTCATGGCTCTTTCCTCACATCAGTCCATTCTTCTTGCTTCTTTGGTGATGTCTCCTAGATTGTTTCTACCCAGGTAATCCAGGATAATCTCTTCTCAAGACCCTTAACTTACTCATACCTATAGAGTCCCTTTTGCTGTGTAGGGTGACATATTTTGCTTGAGGATTAGATGTGGATATATTTGGATGGCCATTATTCACTTTCCCACATGAGTGAGAAAATCTATTTATATTCTCAAAGTCTACTTCAATCATTTGTATGTCTGTGAATCTTGCTACTTATTTCTTTAGAGGTTGTGTTTCTGTATTCGGACTCTCAAATAATTGTGCTCATATTTTGAACTCTATCCTATTATAGACTTAAAATATTTTCTTGAGTAATGTGTTCGGTGATGATAGAAATTCTTCTTCACTTGTTTCTTTTTATGGTAAGGGTGGTGGGAAGTGGGGAGAGGAACCAGGAAAACATGCTCCTTCCCTATTCTAGTCCATTTCCCACCAATTTGGATATAATTATGGTTTCTCTAACAATGAATTCTATGGTGGAAGGATGCTGCTTACCTTGTGAAATATGAGCATTTGCAGGATGTGCATTAATATTTTTATTGAATTCTTATCACATGTTAGGTACAGTATAGGTGCTTGATTTGAAGCCTCTCGTTTCATTTAATTTTCTCTCACAAAAGCCCTATCAGTAGGTGACAGCAGAATATATAGTGTATGAGTTTTCTAGGGCTGCTATAACAAAGTACCACAGACTGAACAGCAGAAATGCATTTCCTTGCCATTCTGGAGGGTAAAAGTCCGAGATCAAGGTGTCAGCAGGATTGGTTTCTTGTGGGGCCTCTCTCCTTGGCTAGAGGATGGCCACCTTCTCCTGTGTCTCTACAGTCTCTGTGTATGCTATTTAATCTCCTCCTCCTCCTCCTCCTCCTCCTCCTCCTCCTCCTCCTCCTCTTCTTCTTCTTCTTCTTCTCCTCCTCCTCCTCTTCTTCTTCTTCTTCTTCTTCTTCTTCTTCTTCTTCTTCTTCTTCTTTTCTTCTTCTTCTTCTTCTAATTTTATTTATTCATGAGAGACACAGAGAAAGGCAGAGACATAGGCAGAGAGAGAAGCAGGCTCCATGCAGAGATCCCGATGCAAGGGATCATGACCTGAGCCAAAGGCAGACACTAAACCACTGAGCCACCCAAGAGCCCCTAATATCCCTTCTTATGAGAACACCAGTCATATTGGAGTCAAGCCTACCTATACAATTCATTTTAATTTAATTACCTCTTTAAAGGCCCTATCTCCAAATACAGTTGATGAGGACTCCAACATATGAATTTTAAGGGGGACATAATTCAGCCAATAACATAGTAAAATGCCTTTTATTTTTTTAATTTTTAAATTTTTTATTTAAATTCAATTAAAATGTGTATTTTTAAAAAGATTTTATTTATTCATGAGACACACACACACACACACGCACACACACACAGAGGCAGAGACATAGGCAGAGGGAGAAGCAGTCTCCATGCGGGGAACCTGATATGGGACTCGATCCTCAGACCCCAGGATCATGCCCTGGGCCAAGGGTAGGCGCCAAACTACTGAGCAACCCAGGGATCCCCTACCATGTAGTGTATTATTAGGTTCAGAGGTAGAATTCAGTGATTCATCAGTCTTATATAACACCCAGTGCTTATTACATCATGTGTCCTCCTTAATGTCCATCAACCCAGTGACCTCATCTCTGTACCCACTTCCCCTCCAGCAACTCTGTTTGTTTCCTCTAGTTAAGAGTCTGTTATGGTTTGTCTCCTCTGATTTTGTCTTATTTTGTTTTCCCTCCCTTCCCCTATGATCCTGTTTTGTTTCTTAAGTTCCACGTACGAGTGGAATCATAGAATTATCTTTCTCTGATTAACTTATTTCACTTAGATAATACCCTCTAGTTCCATCCACATTGTTGCAAATGGTAAGATTTTATTTTTTTATATTTCATTTTTTAAATGATTTTTATTTGTTTATTTGAGAGAGAGAGAGCACAAGCAGGGGAAAAAGCAGAGAAAGAGGGAGAACAGACTCCTCGTCAAGCAGAGAGCCTGACATGGGGCTCAATCCCAGGACCCTGGGATCATGACCTGAGCAGAAGGCAGATGCTTAACCTCCTGAGCCACCCAGGTGACCCAAGATTTCATTTTTTTTGATAGCTGAGTATCCGTATATAGATGAATGAATAAAGAAGATGTGGTATATGAAGATACCACAACATCTTCTTTATTTATTCATCTGTAGTAAAATGTCTATATACCACATCTTCTTTATTCATTCATCTGTAGTAAAATGTCTTTTAGCAACTAGATATCAGGATTGGGATTTGAGTTCAAATCCATCTGTGTATAACTCAAGAGCTTCTCTTAACTCCTTTACTTAATTGAATTATTCTTTTTAGTTAAGTTCCTATTTCTTGTGAAAAGGAATCCCTGTGATTTGGGCACTCTTCTTTAAAAGTTAACTTAAACAATAGATAACAAGCCTAGGGCACCCTAGGTGGCTCAGCAGTTTAGTGGTGCCTTCTGCCCAGGGGGTGATCCTGGAGTCCCGGGATCGAGTCCCACGTCAGGTTCCCTGCGTGGATCCTGCTTCTCCCTCTGCCTGTGTCTCTGCCCCTCTCTCTCTGCGTCTCTCATGAATAAATAAATAAAATCTTAAAAAAAAAAGAAAAGTGTTAAGAACAAATATAAAGAAGCATGAATTCATTGTTGAACTTAATGCTGTATAAATAATAAACCACAGCAAATATTAAACACATATTTTTCTTACCTAATGATTCAACTTTAGTATTTTCAGTGATTTTCCCCATTTTGGATTGTTAATATCTGCCTTGTATGCTTTAGTATATTTGCATACTCATTTCATATTTTTGATCCCTCCATTCTAGGGTTTTCTTCTCCCCGTACCACATACTGAACAGTGATTGTTCCTCTCTGGAGGAAGTTGTCCTGCTCTTTGCCCTGAGCTCATCTTTCCTCCCTCATCCTGGGAATCACTTCCTTTGGCAGAGTACTGAGATGGATGGTGGCCAGACCCTGCTCTATATCCAACAATGGAGAGTTCAAGGAATCGGAACTTTTGGGCTGAAAGTACACAGGACACCACCCCCGTCTGTGGTCACTCACATTTGGAGCCTTAGACTCTAAGAAACTCTTCAAGTCAGGGCTTCACCTTCAAGCATGCAATGCTGCCGCATTGGGATTACACTGGAGTCCACTGGTCCTGGAGGCCCAGAGAAAAGAGAGGAGTCATGATGGCCTGGGAATGTCAGTTCCTACCTACTGTCCCCAGTTCCTCACCTAGCAGGGTTTTTGTGCACTTGGATGTCACCTCTGATAATTCCCGTGTCAGCAGCCTGGACTTTTGCTGCAGATTCCTGCTGTCAGGGTGAGGGACAAACAGTGACTGTCCAAGGGCAATGGTTGGGAAAGCCCAGAGCAGAGCTGAAAACACTACGTGTTCTCGTAGTTGTAGGAGTCTCCCTGGGGCCCAGGCTGTAGACATCCCACTTATCCCCCAGCTCCACATACACACAAACATGCACACACCACTGGCCAAACCTGCCCTCCTTCCAGAGGTTTCTCATAATGTGGGTCTGCTGGCTCCTGGTTCCATGTTTTCCACTACAGTTTTTCCACTTCCAGTTTTTCCAGTTTTTGTCAGGGACAGATTTTTTTTTTAATTTTTATTTATTTATGATAGTCACACAGAGAGAGAGAGAGGCAGAGACACAAGCAGAGGGAGAAGCAGGCTCCATGCACCGGGAGCCCGATGTGGGATTCGATCCTGGGTCTCCAGGATCGCGCCCTGGGCCAAAGGCAGGCGCCAAACCACTGCGCCACCCAGGGATCCCCCAGGGATAGATTTTATGGGCAGAGGCAGCTATTTTATCATCATGGCAGGAACCAGACCACCTCTTTGTGCTTTCAATACTATTCAACATAGTGCATATTTTCTACAACTCGGATGAGTGCTGGGCACTCTATGGCCTTTCCTTTACTCCAGATCTCAGCCTCCTGTCCACTTAATGACCAATGACCAGTCTGCCCCTGGAAGCCACGTTCTCAGTCTACCTCTGACAGCACTCTTCCCAGGTTCAAGTGGCTTTCAAGGACCCAAATGATTCCAGTCCAGAGCTCAAACACATTTATAAGCCTTGATTTCTCTGCTTGGTTTTCGTGGTCATTCCCTGGTCTCTCCCTCCTCACCCAACTTTACCTCCACCGCTCCCCAACCGTTCCCCTGTGCCCCACCATGCTGGTCCCAATGCACCTCCACTAACCCTGTTTTCCTGGCCCTCTTACTGAACTGAAGTTGTGCCTTCCTTCAGCTCTTGGCTTTCAACCTGTCCTTCACTCAAATCCATATTAAGGGAGTTTTCCCAGACTAACTCCAGACCATTAAAATAATAACTTTATGATTTTATGAGGGTGGAGGTAGGCTTTTAGAAAATAATTTCTGGGGGCTCCTGAGGGCTCAGTCAGTTAACTGTCCAACTCTTGGTTTCAGCTCAGGTCCTGATCTCATAGTCATGGGGTCAAGCCCCACATTAGGCTCCATGCTCAGTGCGGAGTCCGCTGTCCCTCTCCCTCTGCTCCTCCCCCCCTGCTCATGCTCTCTCTCTCTCCATCTATCTTTAAAGTGAATAAATAAATCTTAAAAAAAAATTTCTGAAATGATTTCAATATGCAGTCAGTGTTGTGAACTACAAGAACAGAGAGTCTCTAACATCCTTCCAGTTTGTATCGTCTTCATATCAATATCCTTGTAGGAAGAGGCTGGCTGATCAGAAGGCCTGTGTTTATTTTCAGACAGGCTGAACTTTTGCCCATTGCTAACTCCTGGTAACTGGATGACATAGCACTACACAAATATCAAAATTCCTGTAACATTTCCAACAAAAGAAACAAATAATAATGATTGCATAAGTTTTCTAAGGCCACCATGACAAAGTACCACAGGCTGGGTCTTTTTTTTCTAAAGATTTTATTTATTCATGAGAGATACAGAGAGGCAAAGACATAGGCAGAGGGAGAAGCAGGATCCCTGTGGGGAGCCTGATGTGGGACTCAATCTCAGGACCCCGGGATCATGACCTGAGCCAAAGGCAGATGCTCAACCACTGAGCCATCCAGGTGCCCCTGTGTCTTTAATTAACAGATTTATTTTCTTACAATTCTGAAGGCTAGAAGTCTAAGACTAAGATGTCATCAGGTTTGATTTAATCTGAGGCTTCTCTCCTTGGCTTGTAGATGGCTGCTTTCTCCCTGTGCCTTTACAAGATCCTTACTCTGTGTGTGTCTTTGTCCTAATTTCCTCTTCTTGTAAGGACACCCATCATATTGAATTAAGCCCCACCTAATGACCTTACTTTAGTGTAATTACCTCTTTAAAAAGTCTATCTCCAACTGTGGTCACATTCTGAGGTACTGGGGTTAGGACTTTAACATATGAATGTAGGGAGTATTATAATAACTTAATATTCTTTCTTTTCTTCCTTTGTTTCCAGGTACTTAAGTACAGTTAAAAACACTAGCTGGCCATTAAGCTAATAGCCACATGACCCTGAATACAGTCTTTACAGAATCAGTTGAAAAAGTCACTAAACAAGCAAATAACTGCAAACCACAATGAACAGCAACAAGTCCCCAGGAAGTGGGAAAATTGCTTTCCAGTGTTGCCACATTGTAATATTCAGAAGGTCTCATTTTCAACCAAAAACTGAAACATGTCAAGACACAAGAAAATAAGGACAAGTCACTGGAAAGGGGGAATGAACAGACACTTTCTTAGGAAGCCCAGGTATTCTTATTAAACAAAGACTTTAAATCAGCTTCCAAAGAGAAAGAGGAAACCATGGACACAGGATCAAAGAACACCAGAGAAACAATGTCTCACAAAATAGAGAGTATCAATAAAAAGAAATTATAAACCAAACAAATTCTGGGGATGAAAATTACAACTGAAATTAAAAATTCGCTAAAGGGGGGATCCCTGGGTGGCGCAGCGGTTTGGCACCTGCCTTTGGCCCAGGGCGCGATCCTGGAGACCCGGGATCGAATCCCACGTCGGGCTCCCGGTGCATGAAGCCTGCTTCTCCCTCTGCCTGTGTCTCTGTCTCTCTCTCTCTCTCTCTGTGACTATCATAAATAAATAAATAAAAATTAAAAAAAAATCTTTAAAAAAAAAAAATTCGCTAAAGGAATCCAACAGACCTGAGGAGGCAGAAGAATCAGTGAAGATAAGCAAACTGATATTATCCAATCTGATGAGTAGAAAGAGAAAATAAAGAAAAATTAACAGAACTTAAGACACCATGCATACCAATAGAAATTCCAGAGGGAGAGGAGAAAGCAAGAAGAGAGCACAAAGATGACAAATTATTACCCAATAATTTCCCAAATTTGATGGAAGACACGAATCTACAATTCAAAAAGCTCAAAAAACTCCAAGAAGGATAGATTCAAAATTATATCAACACATATTAAAGTCAAATCATCAAAAACAAAAGATAGAGAAATGTGAGGCTAACAAGAGAGAAGCAACTTATCACATACAAGTGGTCCTTAATAAGATTAATAGCTAATATCTCTTCAGAAATCATGGAAGCCAGAAGGCAGATGACATATTTCAGTGATAAGATTTTAAAAAGTCAACCAAGGGATCCCTGGGTGGCGCAGTGGTTTGGCGCCTGCCTTTGGCCCAGGGCGCGATCCTGGAGACCCTGGATCGAATCCCGCATCGGGCTCCCGGTGCATGGAGCCTGCTTCTCCCTCTGCCTATGTCTCTGCCTCTCTCTCTCTCTCCCTCTGTGTGACTATCATAAATAAAGAAAAAAAATTACTAAACTCAAAAAAAAAAAAAAAAAAAAAAAAAATAAAAAGTCAACCAAGAATTCTATATCCTCTAAAACTGGCCTTCAAAAATGAAAGAGAAATTAAGACACTTGCAGATAAAAACTGGATTAGCTTACCACTAGTAGGCCTGCTCCACAAGAAGGGCTAAGAGAGTCAGGACCAAGGCAGGGATATTGACCCTCACAATTTTTATTCACCACAGTACTGGAAATCCTAGCCACAGCAATCAGACAATAAAAATAAATAAAAGTCATCCAAACTGGTAGCAAAGAAGTAAAAATGTCACTATTTGCAGATAACATGATATTATATGTAGAAAACCCTAAAGACTCCACCAAAAAAAACCTATTAAACTAATAAATGAATTCAGTAAAGTTGCAGGATACAAAATTAATATTAAAAAATTGATTGTATTTCTGTACATTCATAACAAAATACCAGAAAGTGAAATTAAGAAAGCAATCCCATTGACAATTGCACCAAAAAGGAGAAAATACCTAGGAGTAAATTTAACCAATGAGCTGAAAGACCTGAATTCTGAAAACTATAAGACATTGATGAAAAAAATGAAGATGACAGAAACACACGGAAAGATATACTATGTTCATGGATTAGAAGAATCGATATTGTTAAATTGTCCGTATTACTCAAAGCAATCTGCAGATTCAGTGCAATCCTTATCAAAATACCAATTTTTCACAGAATTAAGACAAATAATCCTAAAATTTATATGGAACCACAAAAGACCCTGAATAACAAAAGCAATCTTGAGACAGAACAACTAAGTTAGAGGTATTACAATCTCAGGTTTCAATATATATTACAGAGTTGTAGTAATCAAAACAGTATGGAACTGGCACAAAGCTAGATATTTAGCTCAATGGAACAAAATAGCTCATAAATAAACCTATGCTTATATGGTCAATCTATGACAAAGATGATAAAAATATACAATGGGGAATTCTTCAATAAATGGTGTTAGGAAAACTGGACAGGGATATGCAAAAGAATGAAACTGGATCACTTTCTTTCACCATACACAAACTCAAAATGGATTAAAGACCTAAATGTAAGACCTGAAATGATAAAACTCTTAAAAGAAAACATAGATAGTAATCTCTTAGACATTGACCTTAGCAAATTTCTCTGGATTTGTCCTCCTCAGGCAAGGGAAACAAAAGCAAAAATAAACCACTGAGACTACATCAAACTGAAAAAAACTTTTGCACAGCAAACAAAACCATTAATAAAATCAAAATGCAACCTACTGAATGGGAGAAAGCAAATGACATATCTGACAAGGGGCTAATGTCTAAAATAAATAAATAAATAATTCATACAACTCAACACCAAAAGCTCCCAAATGATCTGATTAAAAATGGGCAGAAGACCTGAATAGAAATTTTTCTGAAGCAGATGTAGATTGTCAACAGACATGTGAAAAGATGCTCAGCATCACTGATCATTCAGGAAATGCAAATAAAAATCGCAATAAGATGTTACCTTTTACCAGAATGGCTAGTATCAAAAAGGCAATATTCTTGTTGGTGGGAATGTAAATTGGTGCAGCCACTGTGGAAAACAGAGGTTCCTCAAAAAAAAATTAAAAATAGAAATAAAGGGGCAGCCGGGTGGCTCAGCGGTTTAGCGCCACCTTCAGCCCAGTGCGTGATCCTCTAGACCCGGGATGGAGTCCCATGTCAGGCTTCCTGCATGGAGCCTACTTCTCCCTCTGCTTGTGCCTCTGCCCCCCCCGCCCCCCGCCCTCTCTCTCATGAATAAATAAATAAACCTTAAAAAAAAAAAAGAAACAAATACAATCCAGTGATGCCATTGCCAGGTATTTATCCAAAGAAACTGAAAACACTAATTTGAAAAGATATATGCATCTGTATGTTTATTGCAGTGGTATTTATAATAGCCAAGATATAGAAACAACCTAAGTGTCCATCGATAGATGACAGATAAGGAAAATGTGATATATATACCATATATATAACTCAGCCATAAAATAGAATGTCATCTTGCGACTCATGGGAACATAGATGGACCTACAGGCTATGCTAAGTGAAATAAGTCAAAGACAAATACCATATGATTCTACTTATATGTGAAATCTAAAAAACAAAACAAATGAGCACACACATACAGTCTCCTAAATACAAAGAACAAACTGGTGGTTCCTCACGAGGAGGGAAGGATGGGCAAAATCAGTGAAGTGGATTAAGAGGTACAATCTTCTAATTATAAAATAAAGAAGTCACAGGAATGCAAAGTACAGCTTGGAAATATAATCAATAATATAATAACTATGGTAGGGGATGGGGTAATTTGTGATGAGCATTAAGATGTAATGAGCACTGGGTGTTACATGCAACTGATGACTCACTAAATTCTACCCCTAAAATTAAATAATACATTGTATGTTAACTAACTTGAATTCAAATAAAATTAATTACTTTTTTTAATTAATTACTTAAACCCAGTAAATGCATTGTCTGGAATTTACCTGCAGAGGTATTAGCAAAAGATGTATATTGAGGTAGAGTGTTAATGGTGAACAACCCAACTGGTCATTACAAGATTAACGGCTAAATAAATTTTGATTTCTCCATTAAAAAAAAAATCTCTGGGGATGCCTGGGTGGCTCAGTGGTTGAGTGTCTGCCTTCGGCACAGGGCATGATCCCGGGTCCTGGGATCGAGTACCGCATTGGGCTCCCCTCAGGGACCCTGCTTCTCTCTCTGCCTGTGTCTGCCTCTCTGTGTGTGTCTCATGAATAAATAAACCTTTAAAAAAAATCTCTGTATGGTAGCAGATGGTAACTATACTTATGGTGGGGAGCACTGCATAATGTATAGAATTGTCGAATCACTATGTTGTATTTCTGAAATATAACATTGCATGTCAACTATTCTTCAGTTTTAAGAAAAGAAAGTGAAAAGGCAACCCATATAAAGAAAGTACATATTTGTAAATCCTATATTTGATAAGGAACTTGTATCTAGAATATATAAAGAACAGTTTCAACTCAATAGTAAAAAGAGAGCTCAGTTAAAAAATCTTTCAATTATCTGAATAGACATTCCCCTCACCAAAGATACACAAATGGTCTAAAGCACAGGAAAAGGTGCTTGACATCAATTGTCATCAAAGAGATGAAAATCCAAACCACGTGGAGATACCACTTCATACCCAGTAAGATGACTATAATTAAAAAGATTAAAAAAAACAAACGTTGGCAGGAATGTAGAAATATTTAAAAATAGGCACTCTCATTTTTTTTTGAGTGAAGTGATGCAGACCCTTTGGAAAACAGTCTATAGTTCCCCAAATTTAAGCATAGCATTATCATTTGACCCAGAAGACACATATCTACACAAAACTTGTACACGAATGTTTATAGCATCATTTTTCATGACAGGTAAAATGTAGAAACAACCCAAACGTCCATCAGCTGATGAATGGGTCAAGAAAATATGGTATAGCCATATAATAGAATGTTATAGAATATTATTCAGCTGTAAAAAAGGAGTAAAGTCCTGATATGTGCTGCAACGTGGTTGAACCCCAAACATATCGGGCAAAGGAAAGAAGGAAAGGACTGCTGGAATAGGCAAATATTCTGAGATGGGAGCTTTGTGATGCCCAGAGTGGCAGCAGAGGTGGGAAATTCAGGAGCAGTAGCTAAAGTTTACAAGGTTTCTTTTTGAGAAATACTTTGTTTTTTTTTTTAAGATTTATTTATTTATTTATTTATTTATTTATTTATTTATGATAGACACACACACACACAGAGAGAGAGAGAGAGAGGCAGAGACACAGGAGGAGGGAGATGCAGGCTCCATGCCTGGAGCCCGATGCGGACTCAATCCCGGGACTCCAGGATCGTGCCCTGGGCCAAAGGCAGGCGCTAAACTGCTGAGCCACCCAGGGATCCTCTTTTCTGATAAATATTTTGAAGAAAATGCTCTATAATTGATCCTGGTGGTGATTGCACCACTCTGGAAATATTAAAAACTATCAAATTGTGTATGCATATGAATGATCTCCTTAAAGCTGTGACCTAAGATGGAATCCCTTTGGTTCTGCTACACCAGTCACACACACTGTCACACACACTTAAAGCACGCCTGCCTTCCCTCCACTGTCCCTGTCTTCCAGAATTCCACTTGCCCAGACCTCTCTCTATAGTCTTCAGAGATCAATTTACTCCTTCTCCGCCTCCTTCCTGCTTCAGTAGCTCGGATTCAACTTTTTCCTCCTCTAAACCC